AATGTTGTGCTCTACTAATGACTTTAAAGCTATCAAAGTCACCAAATCACTCTTTACTTCAGGTGGACCGAGTAGAGTAGAGGTTGTGGACACAAAAACCAGGTCGAAGTCTCCTCTTCTCTCGTCCATCATTCTCACAACCGCCTCTCACCAACGGCTCATGACTCACCCACCCCCAGTGACTCAACCACTGAGGCAAAAATCTACACTGATGGCACCCGCGGAGTCTTTGTGTGTGTGTGTGTGTGTGTGTGTGTGTGTGTGTGTGTGTGTGTGTGTGTGTGTGTGTGTGATGTGTGTGTGTGTGTGTGTGGGTGTGTGTGTGTGTGTGTGTGTGTGTGTGTGTGTGTGTGTGTGTGTGTGTGTATCCAGAGCTTGAAGATGTTTGGATCACTGAAGGAAGGATGGGGTTTCTGGCTGTTCTCACTGCCTCATGCAGGTAACATCTGTCTTCATACAGGAGACCGTCAAACCTAATATACACTCACAACATTTCTCACATGAAATTAATATGAAAGTACACAAACAACCTAACCGTACCCCTCTCAGTTTGCCCAGCCATCCTGTTTTTTTGTTACCCTAGCTTACAAACTGCAGTCTCACTCTTCCCGTCACTGGCAGCTGATGACGTTGGGAAGCGTCAGAACAAAACAGAGCAGTAAATCAGGAGCTCTCTCTCTTTATCACCCTGGTGCAAAATGACTGCTACATTACTGCAGCAGCTTCCGCTAAGCAGCGGTCAATCACATAATTGCTTTTACCCTCACTCATAAATAATCCTGGCGACACATTGGAAATACAACTTCCCGGCTCAGACGTTGCACATGACCATGTGGTCAGTGGGGGCATCAAAAGTGTTTTTATAGACTTGTTTCCCACATAAGAGGTCTTATTGAAGTCTTTATTAACATGTTATCATTAGTGTATTGCGGTCACAATAGGCCATATACTGTAGATATAATATCTTGGTATTAGAATCAGACAAGTTTAAAAAAACAAAACGTCAATACATTATCTCTATTTCAGAGTCTAAAAGCAATTGAATGTAGTTTTAATAATGAGGAAGTGCAATGTCCAATGTTTTGCTTCTATGTAACTGCCGGCGAATACTATAAAAGTTATTTATCATGATAAAAGATACATTTTATAATAGTATTAACAGTTATAAAAAGGAAGACCTTAGATTTGACATCCAAGAAAAGGGATGAGATGTAAATGTGCTTCTTTCATAAAGATATTTGTAAATTGCAGTGTTCATTTTGAATATATATTTTAGTTAAAGTTAGGGAAGAGCTTATGATTAAGTGCAAGTTAATGCCAGTTTTTGACAGATGGTTATTTGTGACTCAGACACATCAAATAGAGCATTTCCCAAATATTTTACATTTCTTTAAAAGTATTAAAATTGGTGTATTGCTGAGTTCACTGCCTTTAAGCTATTTACTGTGCAATTATTTAGAGATGATCACTTTTATAAAGAGTTTATTGAAGTATTATTACTCTTGTATAGTTATCAAAATCATTTTGTACCTCCTCTGGCCTAAATCCCTTTATTTTAAGGCAGAGCAGCTGCACACTGCGGAGCAACCGGAGAAACCAGACTGCTCCAACCTGAGGGGAGAGGTATGTGTGTGAGGTGGGGCTGCGCACATAGGATAATACGAGTGTGTATTCTGTGTGTGTTCGTGATGTAGGGCTATGGGTAAGGGTGTTTATGAGGGAGTTCAACCTGTCTGCATAGGAGCAGAAGGTGTCCTGATACACACACACACACACACACACACACACACACACACACACACACACACACACACACACACACACACACACACACACACACACACACACACACACACACACCTTTCCTGACTGCTGGTTTTTGCTCATACTCCCCCTCTGCGCACAGAGCTGTGAGCAAAAGCCAGCTGATGGCAATATTTGTATGTTTGTTAAGAGAGGCCAGAACCGTACATATTATCTGACACGCGAGGTCCACCTGTGTCTGCACTCTCTGCTCTGCGTGGCCCCCGACCCACCCTCTGCTGCCCAGCCACACACTCCACCATCTGGGGAGACATGCAGGGTGAGAGAGGGGGAAAGAAGAGCGAGCAGATGAGGGAGGGCGTCAGTGTGCCAGAATATCAACACGTTTTAAATTAACATCAATATATATACATCACATGTACATGCTGGAATTTTAAACATAGGATACTTTTGTATGTGAAATAAGAGAGATAAAGGTGATGGAGGAAGAGGAGGAAGCACCCTTACATTTGAAAGCCAAACCTGTGCAAGGAAGCACAAACTCATCATCACTCTTAACAATTTAAAGCGCTATAATTGGGGAGCTCATAACAATGGCTTAAAAAAACCTCCACAGGAGTTCCAAAAATAAATGCATCAAAGATCTGAGCCTTAAATGTCCACTGAACATTTTTGAATACACGAGACGGATCAGCTGTTGAGAAAAGATTTCCGTCACATGCTGTGCAGTTGTCAGATCCTTCCGGTTGTAAACAGCATTTAAGATGCAGTAATGTTCAGAGGCTGACCCTGTTGACCTATACAAGTTCCTGCTCAGCTGCTCAGTAACTACCTTGTTTATAAACAATAGACTTACATATAATGTATAAAAAATAGGCCTACACAAGTAACTCAAGACAAAGATAAAATCTCATGTACTGAATAATAATGCTCCTCTACAAAAGGGAACACATCATAAAAAAAGAAGGAAGGGGGATAAGAATCTATATTGAAAGTGTACAGTAAAGCTGTTATAGTTTTGAGTTATTAGTTTTAGAGCGTTGAAATGAATGAATATATTGTTAGTGCATGGCCTTTTACTTAGGGATATGGAATTTGTTTCTGTGTTTTTTTTTTCTAAGAGACCAGACAACACATTCTTCCAAACCAAAACTTTCATAAATATTCCTAGTCATAAAATCTTCACAATGGGGAATGCCAAAACAAATGCAGTAATAAACCATTTCTAGAGATCCATAACATAAAATGAAATGTGCAGAAATGTCTCTCATGAAGTTCTATATTTATTTATTGTCTCAACTTTACTGTTATTTTTATTCTGTCGCGTTAAAATATAAAAACACAATGTAGAAATGCAAGCATGAACAACATAACATGTCAGCAGAAGTGTATTTAATTTACCTCCTGCAATAATGTTTATATTTCTACATAGGCTTTAAAATTATATATAATTATTTATATATTTTTTAATTTATTTGATTTGATTAATAACCTCAAATTAAAACGTAAGTAGGCGACAGAACCTAAATCTCGTACATTCCATAGATAGAACCTTTATATACAGTCTATGGATAGAACACAGCATTAACAGTGTATGATTCTCGCGATGGTTGGCTTATTAGCCGGCAGACACACGGGATGTTGGAATGGGATGATGAGAGAGCAGAACCAGAAACACACACACAAAAACACACACCGAGCAGAAACCGTTAACAACAAAAAACTGGAGGACGAGGCGAGACGGTAGGTTGCACGTGTGTCTCTCTGTGTGTGTGTGTGTGTGTGTGTCTGTGGGTGACAAAAAAAGGGGGTTTGCCGTTTCTCTGCGTGACGTCACGAGTTTTCCTGAAAGTCAAAACAACCGTTGGCTGTGGTTAACGACAGCGCCTCGGAAATCCGTTTCATGTGTTAGCTTTATTATTATTTCTGTAAACGCCTCGTTTTTACCTTTACTGCGGCGTTTGTTCATTAATTCACTCAGAAAAGACGAGGACAAAAATAACCCGGGCGGTTAGTGGAGAGCAGGTGCACCGGGAAATACCACAACACCTGCAGCTACAGGTAATTGTTAGCTAGGCACACTTTAGTGACTGTAAACATCACATACACTGAGCCAAAGCTACTTAAATAATGTGTTTATTTCGTGTTAATGTAAGTAAGGTGGGGGCGTTACCGGGGGGTTGATGGGTGACTTGGAAATTATGCTCAGTATTTCCTTGAAGTGGGTTAAAAAAAAAAGGTTTTCATGTAGGATATAACACCCATAGCGTCTGTCATGCTGCATGCAATATGCGTCAGTTTGTCATCTGCAGTGACGTAGATGATGCAGTGCTGGTGTATCAGAGGTGGGAGAAGTACTCAGATCTTGTACTTAAGTAAAAGCAGAAGTACCAGAGTGTAGAAATACTCAGTTACAAGTAAAAGTATTGGCATCAAAAAATTGTCAAAGTACTCAATATGCAAATTGGCCCATTTTAGAAAAAAAAATATATTATATGTTTTGATTATTGTTATTGATGCATTAAGTGTTATTAAACCTCCTAAAGGTGCAGCTAGTTTTAATTATATTGTATACTGCAGGGTAGCTTGTGAATTTACTCCAGGTGTAACTCAATTCTTATTAAAGTGTTGTCTGTATTTCACATCATTAAGACATTCTACAATGTACAGTAACTAAGTATAAAAAATAAATGTAGTGAAGTAGAAGTACAAAGTAGCAACAAATTGAAATACTCATGTAAAGTACAAGTCCTTCAAAATTGAACTTAAGTATAATACTTGAGTAAATGCACTTAGTTACAGTACTTTACTGGTTTTGTTTGACCAGATACAATGGGTTAAAATAGTTTTCATTTAGAACACCATGCTCTCTGCCATGCTGCATGAGTCATGCGTCAGTTTGAAAGCCATAACAGTGACGTAGAGGATGCAGTGCTGGTGTCTACAATTAGATTCAATTCAAATAGCTTCATTGGCATGACCATAACGACATACAGTATTGCCAAAGCTTTGTACTTGAGTACGACATATACATACATGCTTACATACATTACATGTTACTTAACACGTGCATTTGGAATGTGCTGTTATGTTCATAAACACAGCAAGAATAACGTGTTTTCTTTACAAGGAAAACAATGTACTTTTTTAACATTAACTTCATTTTAAAACATAATTTAGTTGAAAATACTTCTGTACTTTTACCTAAGTGATCTTTTGAAGGCAGGACATTTAATTGATTATTATTTGAATACTTCCTTTAACAGTGACTTTCACTGTGATGTATGCAACTGTATACAAAACCAAAAGTAATCAAATGTTTATGCTACAGAAGAGAGCTGAAAGAATGGTAAATAGTTTGTGTTTTCTCAAACCAACCAACCAGCTTTGATATAGTTGATCTTAGAACTGCAAAGAAAATGCATGAACCACAACTTGTTTAGCTTCCTTACTGCATTCAGATGCTGTCTGGATTCAGGATTCCCATGAGTTTTTTTGTGTTTTTTACTTTTAAATGAATTCCTTATTGTTATTTATTTATTTTTACTGCATTCTTTCTTTGCATAATTTTAGTCAAAGATATATACCGGTATATATATTTAGTTCACACCTTGTTTTGGTCTTATATGTACTTTACTTCTATGCAAGATGTGTTTTGGCTTATAGACAATCATTATATTTAAGATCTTAAAACTTTAGAAATGACAAAGACGTAATACATCCAGTGTTAATAGAGTGTAACACGTGAGGTCCTGCCAATTGATGGCTTTCACTTTAGGAAGAAGCTTGTGGGCTCAATGATGTTGATGTCAGCTTGATTTGGCTTTGAAGAGGATTGAGGTGAGATTAGGGGGTGTGAGGTGTGCTGTCCTGACGTGGCGGCAATAGTAACTCCAAGTATCTGATCTGACCTGAGCCCTCTTCTCTGTACATTCTTTGTGCTTAAGATCCACACCGCCCATTTTTAGAGGTGTAATACACTATTGAGACTGTTTCAGTTCTCAAAAACACCATTCATATTTGATGTATAGTTAACATACACAGATTAGTTCTTAGTGTGCAAAGATATGTTCTATGATGTTTAATGTTACAGGGTCTGGGATAAATGCAGATCCCACTGTTCTCATTACATAAAGATTATTATCTTTTTTACTCCCAATGGGTTAACTTGCTTTCAGTATCGCATTGTATCGCACTATATTGAATCTATCCCCTGTATCATGATATCTTACTACTGTATCTTAACCCAATTTTGTTCCAAAACACAGCCCAATTTCATGAAGTGTGTCAAGCCTATAATTAAAGCTAATGTTCAGAGATTGATTCTCAATCTACTAGGTTCAGTTCATGACTACTCCGTCAGCTCTATTTACTGTAGGCCAACGTTTTATTAAGAGGCAGTGACGCATTTCCAAGCAGTGATTTGTTATTGGTTTATTAATAATTGGTTTACTGGTTTTCAATGTTTTTTGGGAACACAGGAGCTCAGTCAAAACCTTGCCTTGTTGTTGAGCTCTAAAACGTGATTTATTCAGATAAGAAATGGAGCTTCCAGATCTGCCAATACTTCTCCTCCTTTTCACCGATAGAACTGACCACTGACACTAATGCTGAGTGTATCAGAGTGACAACGGCTTGTAAACAGCACCATTATGTTCATGCTTAATGTTTTAACAGGGTGTCCGCGGGGTCTTAAAAAGTATTCAAAGTTGATAAATCAATTTAGCGAAAACTAAGGCTATTAAAAAGTATTAAACGGCATTTTCCAAGGTATTAAGAAGTCCCAAAGCAACGACAACATGAAACACCCTTTAATTTACTGAAACGACATGTCGGGAAACCCCCTCAAGGCGGCCCCATGCACAGCGCTCCGTAAAATGCCGCTTCTTATTTTAAGTTTCGTTGCCTTGCTCAGCTCTGTGGGGGGGGCGCCGCCAGAGCGCGTCTCCCGTTTACCTGCAGAAGGAAGCCATGCACGCAACGCAGCCCCGCTCTCTTTATCTCCAGGTGACTTTCTGCCGCTTTCCTCCGTGGTGCAGTGCTGATCGTTTCACCACGGAGGAAAGCACTTCACTAATTGCACTACCCATAAGGAGCTGTACAAATGCCGCAGTTTTTTTTTTTAGTTGAAAGCCCAGTGGCGATCTGCTCATCTCTCATCGAAATAATATGCTACAAAGGGGCGGACTGGCCATCTGTGTGTTGAACTTTCCTGTCGGCTCCCAGACCGTAGTCGAGGAGGGCAGAAGCAACAAGCTTCAGGTTCAATAACCCACTTTAGCTTAAATGACTGGAGAGAGGCGAGCTCTTCTTGGGATGCCGTTGCATTTATTTAGTTGTTCTTCTGTTTCACAAAATACATCACAGACCTCTGTCTTTCTGTTGCCTCGTTTCACTTCCAGAAACATACACACGTTCCCTCACTGTCGCTCTACCATCCACACACACACATGCACAAGCCGCACCCCTCTCTCTCTCTCTTAAAGGGACAGCGATCTCATCTCACTCTGCATGACCCTAATATCATAACATGTGTGCTCTGGAGAATCACAGAACGGACGATCGTCCTTATTATTATGCCGTTTAAACCAATTATTTAAATGTGTTTGTTAAATTCGGCATCATGTAAGTTGCGCTGACAGGTCCACACACTGCTTCCCC